GCATTACTTTCTGACGGTATTTCCCTTTAGTATTATAGTGGAACCCGATGTTGTTTTGGGAAACCCAGTTCTATTTTTTTGAAACTCTTTCTCTGCCCACTACGCCACAATATCGTACGCTGTATTGGCTGCTGCTGCTATCACTGCTGGTGTGTTTGTGTAGAGAAGAGCAAGCTTCCACTGTGTCAGTGACAGAGGGAGACTCGGGGCCTGCTTTTTACCTGGTCAATATCAATGCATTCTTCTTCTTCTGAGGTTTTGACGTGGTGCACTGTGTTGCTGCCTCTTGAGACCTTTATGTGACAGTAAAAAAAAAAAAAAAAAAAAAGAAAAGAAAGAAAACCAATAAAAAAAAGAACACTTTCCATTTTTTAACTTTGCTATAATGAAGTGCCAGACCCCTCCGTGAAGTCAGTGTTGGCACTGAGTCGCAGGTTGCGGATGAAGCGATAAACTGAGCATGGGGGTAAACTGTGGTGCTATAATCTGTCCCTGGCTGGGTGCTACAGTAACATGGCTGTGTTGAATTTTAGCCATATTATTCCTTCTGTTGATGACTCCGGTCAGTCTGGTGTGTCTGACTGCTGTACGCTGACATAGCGAGGTAAAACTCCTCCGCTGCTGCTTTGCTGATGAATGTAGACTCGTCTTCCTCAGCAGGATCACACAGACAGATGAAAGAGTGTCTGGAGATTTTATTTCTTTCTTCTTCGTATATGTTTGGAAGCTCAAAGGGAGACTCTGGTCATTATGATAGAGAAAGATCTCGAATGTTATATTTTTATGTGGCTACTCTTGCTAATATGTTTAAACCTTTCTGTCGTTAATATTATAGTTTGATATTTATGCTAACTCTGTCAAATGTTTATATTGTTTTAAATTATATTTTATATTTCCCCCCACTCCCAGTGTTTATAATATGAGATATTTATTTGTGAAGGCCTGTAATTTAAAATGCAATGAGACAAATATGATTAAATTGAGATTTTAAAGTATTTCCACTGAGAATAGAAAGTCAGACACACATCTTGAGATTCACAGGTGCAAATCACAATGAAACCAGAATGACTTCTCAAACTTAATTTCTGGGAAATTAGTGGCAAAAATTCAATAAATCAGCAATCGATTAGGCATTTTCCAATCTACACCAATTCTTTTTTTTCCTATTTTGATAACATCTATAGCACAGAGCATATTTTCTGGTAAGGATAATCACATTTATGCTTTAGACTATTTTTTTAAAATGTTTTTAAATGTTTCACATTTATGCTTTAGACTATTTTTTTTAAATGTTTTTATACCAAACTCTTCCAAAAGTGCATCTGTGGTTGATGTGTGTTTTAGACCAAAATCTGCTGCATTCAGCTTCTTAATGCTTTAATGGATAGAAAATATCTAAAGATTCAGAAGTTGACCTGCCAATCATGGTAAAATTGATAGATTCGTATCTATAATCAGTTAGGATTTGTTATTTATTAGTAGACCTGTTCTTATTTCACAAAGCTGAAAAAATAACCATTCCTAAAAATCAGTTTCAACAAGTGCACAATGTAAGACGCAAAAATGTGTAAAAAAAAAAAAAGAAAAATAGTCTTTTAGAAAATAATATTCAACTAAAGATGAGTTTTAATTACTTTTATGATTATTTATCTCTACTATTGACATTTTAACTACTGAGATAAATAAATTGAGATGCTGTAGTTACGTCCATGACTATAAAATAGTTTTTCACATACAAATTGTGAAAGGGACAAATTGCAAACAGCCTAAACAAATAAGTAAGTCTTTAACCTGGAATAACTCATTTGTACGGTAATCTCTTTCACCGATCAAAGTGAAAATATGCAAACAGCAATCAATTTGATTGATGCTTATTATTAAGACTCATATTGAGATCCCAACCACCATTTGTAACCAGAGTATTAAATTCTCCAGACAAGATTTCCTTGCAAACTACCTTTGTGAGGATATTTTTATTCCTTTGCACTTTCGAAGGACTTGAATGACTGAAATAAATCAATTCAAGTTAAAGAGTTAAATAGCTTTAATATATAAAGAAGCACCTTTTGACCCTCAGTTTAAAGTTGGTGATAAACCACTTTTCTTTATTTACAAATGATATGCAAGTTTCCCTGAATAATATTTCACAGAGTGGTGATAAATTTCTGCCTGTGAAACTCATGAATTGTTGTTAAAGGTTCGATGCGGTCCAAAGGTTACATCAAGCTAAACCAACTTTTAGCGCTCACCTTAGAAGATGGCTCACTTGCCGTTAAAAGAACTTCAGTGGAAATGTTGAGATTTTTACCACGTTCCCTGTTGTTGTTGTTTTTTGTTTTGTTGAAATTATTTCTTAAACTCTATTTGCTTTCTTTTGAAGAAGGGCTTGGTTTGCAGTGTCTTGTCTCGTAGCCCCGGAGATTAGTAAGGGGCCACGAAAGGCTGGTGGGCAGAGACCCCTCACCTTCCCTTGGAGTGAATAAATACGGGAGGGGTTCATCTCCTCTTCTGCAGACTGATTTAACTAAAGCAAAAAACTACCCATCTTTGACAATAACAGCAAAACTATCTACTTTTACACTCGCCAATCTTACAAACCAACACTGCAGTGATTTACATCTCCTTCCAGACTTGCCAAAACACACGAGAGACGTTCAACAAAAAAGAAAAATGCTTCTCTTAAAGTAAAGCATCTGTTCTGTTTATTTTCTTCTGTTTCTAAGAATAAGAGCAGACAGTACGTCAATTTTTAGTAGGAAATCCATACAAGCCCAAACATTTGGAGAGGATGTGGAAGGTATCGGCCATCCTGAGCTCCACATGCCATTGTTATGATGCTTCTGGTCTTGTATGGTACCTTATTCTACTAGATCAACAGCATGGGATCTTTCTGTAGTTAGTCCTGTGTGTGTTCCTCTCCCCAGTTTCTGTAGGAAGGCTGAACTTCATTGCTAAGTGCTCTGTAATAGATCTCTTGGTGATTCTAATTTGGTAAAGAAGCAAAACCTGCAGAACGTGTATCCTGCTGAAACTAACTTGATCCTCTCTTTAGCAATGACGTCTATATTTGTAGTTCACATATATGCCTGTTTAAATACAATATCTTGACATGTGTTATATTTATGTTATATAATAAATGTTGTGCTGGGTTTATACTTTTGGTTTAACGTTTTTCTTTTACATTGCATTTGTTTTTGGAGGCACAGTTGGTGGCTTTATGCACAGGCATGGAAACGTAAGACTTTTTTTTTTCTCGGTTTGTACTGTAATGGCCCATTCTGTTTCAGTTTGACAGTTTTTGTCAGACACCTGCCCTGAATCTCTGTTGTGTTCTTGTGCCTCTTTATTTTTTCTAACTTTGTGTTAAATCATTCTTTCTTTTCTGTCATGTATCAGCCGGGTGTTGGTACTGCAGCTCTGCTTGTAACCACGTTAGTCTGATTATGTTTATTGATTTTAATATCAAAACAATAAAAACCATTAGCACCCCACTCTGACTCCTGTTTCGTTCTTATTTTGACATTTTATCTGTCCAAGGAACTGCTGTAGTGCAAAACAAAGTTTTACAAAGTGTCTAAAAGGCACTGGGTCTGAATTGATATAAGGTGCATTAAAAATACATTCAAATACAGACCAGCACATGCAGATTATGCATGATTATGCTTAGGCGACGTTTCTTCTAATGCAGGGTTGTCCAACTTCAGTCTATTGTTATTTATATTATATTTCAAATATTTTATAAGTTTTCACAAAGGGTGAATGCAGAATTTTATTTATTCACCTATTTAACTGTACAATCTGAATCATGAGTGTAGTTTTTATAGACATTTGATTGTCAATGCATATACAATCTTTACACTTCTAAGGTTTGCATACGTGCAAATCTGAGTGACATTTGGTTGTTTCCTGCTTCAAATTATTAGTCAAGATGGTAAAAAAAACCAACATGTTTTCAAGAGTAATTTAAAGTATAGAATATAAGTTTGAATATAAGTCTGTAGAGCATAAAATAATCCATATCAGGTTTGACCTGTCTGTGTCAGGATATGAACTGTATACACTTCAGAGTCCTTATAATCCATGGATTTACCACCTTCTGATAAATTATTCATCCTTGGACACACTTACTTCTAAGTGTGTAGTTAAAAGAAAACTCATTTCGGAGAGGAGATGGTAGATAATTTTTTTGCTCAGTCCATTCTGCCCAGGGCAGGGAGCAATATTTTCTACAACTAAAAGACTTGTGGACTTTCACAAGCACTGTGAAAATTCAGAGCCACTTCTAGTTTCTTTATATTAAGCAATAAGACAAAACAGGAATAATTATAAATTTGTAATAGGCTTTTTTTTTTTTACATAAAGAACATAATTTTCACTAAAATTGACAGCTACAAACAGAAAAAAAATGAAAAAGCAGCCAACGTACAGGAAAAATATTAATAAAAAAAAACCTAGCCTGGCATTACTATACTTTTATTTATTTATTTTTTAAGTTTTGGCCCCTTTGTGCTGATTAACATACATAGTGGCAGATCAAAACCATTTTACAGTATCATAGTTTTTTGAAGTGGAAGAGAGCATTTAAATGCATCACTCCTGTAGTAGCAATCTTCTTTAGTTTTATACTTAACAAATACAGTATTATTTATGGTATTCGGTGTCATTTATGAGCAGATTAATAAAGAAGGGTTTAAAATAGTGGTTGTTTATCTGACGAACCTGAACATCTTCAGGTCCACAAACATTACTAGTGAATAAACTAAACAGACAAAGAGCAATTATCTGCTGAATAATTTATAGCACAATTTACCGTTATTGTTTTTGTTATTTTGATTTATGGAAAGAAAGAAAGAAAGTTGCTGCTAACAACTGCTTCCTATGGGTTTAATGTTTGCTGGCAGCCATGTAATAAATTTCTAGAGGTATAATAAAAGTTTTATCTTGATAAGCAACAGATGCTAAACATTTTTAAGAGATTTCTAAATGCATTTTTTCCTCTCCCCCCCTATATTTACCGCTCTAATTATTTTTTAAAGCACATGAAACAATACTCCAACCACTCAGAAATCTACTTCAAAATTAGATATTTTATAATTACAGGAAGACCGAAACGGCCTCAGCCAATTAGATTATAGCTTCGCCTAAAGCGGATTGGTCTCTTTTAAGCCCTGCAGCTTTCCGTATCAAAATAGCAATGGCGTCCTCGGAGGACGTAAACGTCCGAATTTGCGGACAAGAAATAATAAAATACGACCTGGAGATAAAGGCTCTCACTCAGGTAAGAGCTCAGTTGTTGTTTATGGTGATTTTCATGTGTTACTGGGAGAAGTTGACATGAAACGCACACAGGTGGTGCTAAATGTTGACCATTGAAGTTAGCTTAGCATCAGTTAGTTGGAATAACTTCAATCATATCATATTTGTCTTTTTGTTTTAATAATAATAATTTTCTGTTCCGCTGTTTCGTCACCACATGAAATGAGCTTATTTTTTTATTCTATTTTATTGATTATTTCTTTTTTTTTTTTTGCGAAAGCTTTCTGACAACTTTTAAAGCAACATCTGTCTCCCCCTAACACTCCAACCAACCAACCAACCAACCAACACTTTTTAGTTTAAAATATAAAATAATAAAGAAAATATCTGAAAAGACCAAAGAATAACACGCAAGAGATCATGGTTATGTGAAGAATGTCTTCGAACATCAAATACTGGGGACATATTATGATTAATAATCAAAATACAAGTGGAAAGATGCAAAAAAAAAAAAAAAAACTGGTCAAAAATTATAAAAATGGTTTGACTCAATACCAATAAACATTTTCCTCTTCATTAATGTGAAAGAATTATAAATAATCTTCAACATTCTTTGTGTTTACAATATTGCACAGATTATAAGTGCAATGATTACTAGTATTAACTATTATGTGGAGCTCTAGTTGTAGATTTAAACTTTTATTATATATTTTCCAGGCACATACTTCTGTTTTACACTACAATCAAGTAACTATGTTTAGGCTCACCCAAATGGTTGCCACTGAAGATTAATGGATTTCTTAAACATACATGAAAAAATCAAAACAACATAGTAACACTCCAAGTATGTGTTAAAAGAATGAAAAAAAAAATACATTTCTAGGTTGAAATCACTGCCCCCTTTGAAAGTTATATTTAAAAAAAAATGTTGGTTGGTTTAAGATTTATGACAGCCAGAATTTGTGACAAGCTATAATCTTGTCATTCTGCTCACAGAAACATTTTAAACTTCACATGTATAATTTAACCTTTCTGCGTTCACAGGCTGTTATCTTTGCACCTTTATGTTTTTCTGTATCTGCAGGACATCATTAATTGTCCTGGACCTCATTCTGCTCTCGCAGAGCTCAACTCTCGGGTCAAAGAGAAATTCAACAAGCTGCGGCTCAGGATACAGGTCAGGTCTTTGCCCCACATACAAACTGTGTTGGAACTTCTTACTTTAGAAATGGAAATGTGTCAAGGGAAGCCATGTTTTTGCTGCTGTCAGGATCTGGAGCAGATGGCTCAGGAGCAAGACACACAATCCAACAGACTGTCCATCCTCATGGAGACGGAGAGCCAGCGACGCCAAATGCTGAGGTGTCTGGACACAAACACATGAATGTTTCACTCTGTCAGTAATTCTTATTGCATATAACTTTTAATGACAAAATAATATATAATTACAGCTCTGGAAAAAATGAAGAGTCCATTGCACTGAACTCCACTGAAAACCTCGTAGTTATTCCACCGAATATCTGAACTCTTCCTGAATTAAAACTTTAGTATTATTGTTCCTAAATTATTACGAACTTGTTTTCTTTGCTTTATTTGAGGTCTGAAAGCACTGCATCTTTTCCTTATTTTGCCCATTTCTCATTTTCTGCAAACAAATACAAAATTTTTGTTTGGAATTTCAGAGACATGTTGTCAGATGTTCATAGAATAAAAGAACAAAGTTCATTTTACTCAAACATATACCTGTAAAAAGTAAAATCAGAGAAACTGATCATTTTAAGTGGTCTCTTATTTTTTTCTAGACTTGTATATGTGACTGTTGTAAATGGAAGCACTAAGCTTCGAGGGGCAGATAAAAAAATCAATCAAATGAAACATCAGGCTTTTAAACTTGGTTGTTCAATGTATCCATCCATCCGGTTTTTGCAGTTTTCATATTACCTACCTGACAGTTGTATTTAATTACAGTAAATTCAAATTAGAAGGATTCACAGGAACTGCTTAAGGTAAATAAATCTAAGACACCACTTACAGTATTCTAAGTTAGTTCTGATATTTTTGTGGGTTCCAGCAACCAGACCGCATGGCGGAAAGCCAACCTGGCCTGTAAACTCGCCATAGACAACATGGAAAAAGACGAGCTTTTGCAGGGAGGAGAAAGCCCGAGCACCAGACAGAGGTCAGTAAAGTTCTGCTGAGGCTTTCGAAGTGCCAAACCTGGTCGCTGAGCATTTTGTTGTTAATTGAAGCTCTTTCTACAAAACAGTAAAAGATCTCTAATCACACTGCGGATGCCTTTCCTCCTTAGCAATGTGTTAAACACATGCCTGACTGCCTCAGAGGACCGAGCTGCTAAACCTCCTGCTTTATGGAGGTTCGTTAGACCAGCAGCTGGTGCCTATTCCCTAAAATTGTTTGCAAGGTTTTACTTTGCAAAGTTTCTGTTCAGGCTTGTTCCTCGTATTAGACAGTGAGGTGAGCAATACTTCATTTTCAGATCTGGTCGTTCTCCATTAATTGCTCATTTGTAAAGCTATAAACAACAGTGTGTGCTATTGGGATTTAATTCAATGTAATGGACCAACACATTGCTGAAAAAGTCTCTTTGAGTTCAGTCTGCTCTGGAACCATTTTTGCTGCCTTTGTATTTACGAGCCTCTTGTGGTATGTCTCTTAAATGCCTCTTCTTTTATGCGAATAGCTCAGTCAGACTATAAAAAGCACCTGAGCTTTAAATCTTGTTTCAGGTTCTCAGGTGAATTTATGTCTGGACATAAATGTGTTTTGACTGAAACCATTACGCGCTGTCTGTGTGTGTGCTTGTGTGTGTGTGTTTACATGGTTGGTTCTCACTAGGACTGAAACAATTAGTTAGATTAATGGTTATGAATCAATTGAAATAATTAACTAAATTTGCACTTTAATTGTTAAACGGAGAATGCAGACTAAAAAAAGACATTTAGAGCTGTAATGAAACCAAAATTTTAAAAAAATGCAATTTTTTTTATGTAAGATAAAAAATAATAATAATAATAATTGAAAACATAGTGAAGAGATTAGCCCTGATGTTATTGATGCTAAGAAAGGCAGAAAGGGCAGAGCTGTTTCTTTAGCTGCAGATTCATCCTTTGCTACAAATGATCAAGTGTTCACTAAAGGAATGCTATGTTGTTGCATTATAGGCCAGAATTGTTTACTTTCTCATTTGAAAACAAATTGAATTGTTTGTATTTTTAAAACTCTATTTCTAATGTTGTATAATATAAGTTTAAGTTGTCAAGTAAAAAATCTGCATAATGTTTTTTATTTTTTTTCAATCCAATTAATCATCAGAATAGTCGTTGGTTGCAGCTCTATTTCTAACAGGTTTTCTTCTTTGGTTTCCTTTAATTAACTCCTGAAGAGATGCATTCTCACAGCATGATGCTGCCATCACCACTTTTCACAGGGGGGTTGATGGAAATGCAGCATTTCCACTCCAAACTTCATTTTTCCTAGAAAATGTGCTGTTAAAGTCATGAATCTAGACTAAAAGCCCACCTGTTTAGAGATGCATTTAATTGATTATACATAATAACATAGTTGATGTTATTGTGTACAATAATATCAATATTATTAATATTATTTTAGTGATGATACTCATCAAATTGTTGACTGTATCGTGTTTTCTTTATAAATTAGTAATTTTGTGTTTTTATTCTGTAAGGCACCTTGAACCCATTGATGCTGAAATGTGTTATACAAATAAACTGGATTGATTGATTCCCTGCTGTGGCCTGTGTGTGTCTTTATGTCAGGAAAGTGACCAAAGAAAGTTTAGTGGAAAGCAGCAGCAACATCACAGAGAGTCTGATGTCCATCAGCAGGATGATGTCAGAGCAGGTGAAGCAGAGCGAGGACACCATTGGCACTCTGGGTAAAGAAACATTTTTTTTAAAAACCCCCATCTTTTTATGAATTTGTGTGTCGTCCAGCTTATTGATCACTCATCCCTCTCCTCTTTGATTGTCATGGCAGCCACCTCCTCTAAAACAGTGCAGGAAGCCAACGAGGAGTTCAAAACCATGACGGGAACCATCCACCTGGGGAGGAAACTGATTCTGAAGTACAACCGCAGGGAGCTCACAGACAAGCTGCTCATCTTCTTGGCTTTAGCGCTTTTCTTTGCCACCGTCCTCTACATCCTTAAGAAACGCCTCATCCCCTTCATTTAATGAGCCGGCTGGCTCTGCATCTGCCTCGTGACGAGATCCCTGCAGGGATTGTAAGACGAGGAACAGCAGAGCAGAAACTACCTGGTTAGAGAAGAAGGAATATAAGAGATGTTACCTTGCTTAGGATGCAGGAGGTTAGTTGTGAACGTGAGGACTAGAGCTGCACACTGCCTGATTGTTAACAATGTCTGGACTTACTGGAGTAACTGTTGGGACATTTAGACATTCTTCAAATTAGAAAGAAAGAAAAGCTAAAATTTGGTTGGCATCTGCAACAGAATGTAATGACTTCAGTTTGTTCCTGGATGTTTTCATGTGAGTTTTCTGGCTAACTGGTCCAAAGGTGAATGTTAACTCCACAAGATGTGCCTTTCTTCCTTCGTTTTAATAAGACAAAAAAATCTCCACAATAATGTTTTGACATTATTTCACATCACAGGAAAGTCTTGTGAAAGGAGCTTCAGGAACAAACATGGAGGGTTTCCATCATGTGTCGTGATTTGTCAAACTTAGGCAGAAACATGTTGTACAAATGTTTTTTGCTCATTTACATTTCTAGTTTTTAACATCTATGCAGGAGGAATTAAAAAGACATGGAAGCAAAGTGCTACAATGTTTAAACTTTTGTTTTATTTCAAAGAGAAATTACATGTTGTAGCTCAAACAAATTCCTTCAGCATTGGTTTTGGTCTGTAAGTAATAATGTTTCCAAGTCGTGACTTGAACATAATAGAGAATCTACAGATGGTGCAATAAACGAAAGTGTTTTACAAGCTCTAAAGGGTTAAAATACTATTTATAACATATTGCCAGCAATTATAAGAGTAGTTTAATTGTAACGCCAATAAAGGCTTTTCTGCTGATTTATGTTGAAGGGTCAAAATAAGCCTTGAGAAAAACAAGATGGATATTTGGGAGATTCGGGTGAGATTTCCCGTCATAAACAAATGATTGAATTAAGAAAATCTTAAATCTGCCTGTGGTATAAATAATTTCAGACTAACTCTATGCTTATTTGGGTTAGATTATCAGCAAAATGACTAAATGTTTTCTTCATTTGTGCTTTCAGATATTTTTACATAAATTAGACATGCATGCACTTTGGTGAAAGTCTGCCCATATTTATTTATATTTATGTAGCTTACAGTCAAAGCAAACACTGTTGCATTCTCAAAAACAAGAACTGTTTTCATTACACAGGAACAGACACCGTGTGCTGAAATCAGAGTTTTAAACCAATTAAAGAAAAATATTCGCTCACAATAAGGTCTGCTTTTTATTTATGTCAAAAATATTTTCTATTTAAACTATTAAAATTGTGCTTAAAACTGTTGTTTGGGATTTGTAATTTTTTACAAGGTACATCATCATTTGCTGGTTTTAAAAGCACCGTCTCACAGGATTCTTCTTTTTAGATGTTTTTAGTGTTTTGAGTTGCAATAACAAGCAAAACACTGTTTTATATCTCTGAACTCTTCAGCACCACCAGTTTGGACTCAGACACAAAAATAGACCTAATTACTTCAGTATGCTGGACTTTCTTGGCATCTTTGCCTCTAGATGCACTTAGAGCCATCTGCTTTGTGACTCTATAAATAAAGAAAATGGCCTGAGCAAAACAGTTGTATAAAACAGATTGTGTAACTTCAGATGTCTTTGAGATTATTACGAGTTTAAGGTAGATTATTGAAGCTTATTCTTTAACTATATGCATGATGCACAACACGATAAAAACCAAAACAGACTAAAAAATGTTTAATTCTGTCTTAAAGCCATCAGACGCACATGAGCTGAACGTGTTATGAGCGTTTCCCTCTGATGAAATGTAATATTGATGTGAGGTAGATTAATGGCTTTTCATCCTGTATATGTTCAGAGAAAATATTAATCTCCACAAAACAAAAACACCCACACACTGAATAAGTATTGCTGCTTTTGCATTCACTGGCAACACTACACAGAAAACTCGTCTAACTCTACATCTTTTACTTATTCTACTGGTAATATAAGTGCTTAATGTTGGTTTACCCTGTGTGCACCTTGTGTAACTTTTCATAAGACAGTTCAGGATGCTAAGAGTTCGGATTGGGTAGCATTGTCTGTCGACCAATCAGGGGTCACGTCCTCTAGTTCGACCTCTCTGGTTGGCTGCTGCAGGGGGTCAGTGGGGGCAACCGGTCCAGGGATGGAGGGCGCTGGGCTGGTGGGAAGCCCCGGAGCATCGGACTGACCGAGGGGGCAGATGTTGGTGAAGGTGCTGCAGAGCGCCCCCCAGTGTTGCTCACACTGCCCCCGAAGTCGCTGTCCGACCCAGGACCTGATCTTGTCTCCACACTTCAGCAGGAAGTTCATCAGCTCAACATACGGCCTGTTGGGAATTTATTCACAGAGAAAACGCTCAAAGACGATCCTTCCTCCACAGAAGGCCATAATGCTTTTAAAATAAAAAATCCAACAGAATAAAATAAACAGGAAATATTTTTCGGCAGGAACTTTCTGTAACATTTCATATGAAGGGGTGTGCATAAGACTGGCATAAAACCTGTCATGAACATGAAGGAGGCTTTATAAATGCTTTTTGCTGTTGTCATGAAGTGTTATCTAGTAAATAATGACATTTTTAATGCAAAGTTGGTCTAAAAGTTGCATTAAACATCCATTAATAGTGTCAATTTTGATATTTTAATGCAAAGTCCCATTAATACTGGCATTAAAAGTCCTTTTGCATTAAAAGTGTCATTACTTACCGAATGACATTTCATGACCCCAGTCATAAACGTTCATAAAGACTCCTTTATGTTCGTGACATTGTTATGTCAGTCTTATGCACACCCCTTCAATGAAGTGTTACCAAAATTTCTATTGATGAAAAGACGGAAGCACCTCGTGGAAAGTCTTAACTAATAAAATTAATTAATTTTAGATTAAAATCAGGACTGGGATCAAACCTCAAATGTATTCAAACCCCCAGAGCTTCAACATTTTGTCCTGTTGCAACTTCAAACTGCGGAAACCAGATATTTTCAAAGTTCACTGATGCAATCTGTAGTTGTTTCAATCTAAAGCTTTCCTGTTTTAGGGCCATTAGGATTAACAAAATGATTCCAACCCCTCCTAAAATGATGAAGTGTTTTTCATGCTCAAAGAAGCTGTAATGAATGAGCGTGCCTTTCTCACCCTGCAGGAAACATGAGTTGGAACTGGACCAGGTTCCCCATGGTGTCCAGGTGATCCTGCACAGCCAGGCAGAGATTGTGTGTGGAGTAGCACTCTCTCTGGAGCGAGAACACCATCTCCTTCACCGCAGAGCAACGCCGGCTCACGCAGCTGAAACGCTGCCGCAGACCCAACGCGACGCATCGAAGAGCGTCCTTCACGTACGACTTACCCTGGAGGAGACAAACATGACATGACAGGCAGAAAAAGTAAGAAGGACATTTGTGGTTTTTTAGTTGTAGCAATACATCTTATGCTGCTTAGTCCACCTTAAATGGTGCCACATTTGTTTGTTGCACCCAGAGTCGGAGTGACCAACACAACCACACTGGAAGATTTAACACAAATACTGGATGAAGAATTTGATGCAGCACCGAATCCGCAGTTTGGTGAAATTTGCAAGGAAAAATGGAATTTAATTGCAGTGTCTAGATGGGCAAGTCCGATTTCTATTCATTATTCTGTTTGTAGCAAATACATTTGTAGCTAAATGGAATGAAGTTCTTTGAATTAACGTCAAACGTTTGCGCAGAAATTTGTTTTGTTAATTAATTGTGCTGTTTGTGCAGCTAAAATTTTTGTAGCAAGTTTGATTGACACCAAATGTGCTTGATTTTCTAAATGTGGGGGGGCTTGCTCTGGAAACATTTATTGATGCAAAAATTTTTTGCAGCACAAATATTTGGCACCACCTTCCTTTGATCTGAAGAATGTAGGGGCCCAACTTCACTCAGGTTCATTTTCTTAACTCTCACACCTGATTCTAAATAGTTTCAGGAGAAATTAATCATTTGTGTAAAACCCTGCTTGCTTCATGCACAATGACCTGGTGTGTTCATGAGAGACATAAAAACAACAGCTGTTGTGTGTAATTTAATCGGATCGTAGACTTGAATGAAATTTATAAACAACACATAGCTGATATACAGAAATACTGTTTTTTTTTCCCAACAGATCTCCTCTAGCTGTTGTTTTGAATACGTCTGAAAAAGATACGCAGAAAGAACATCATCTACTGCTCCTCATCACTCCGAGGACAAGAAGAACTTGCTTCCCTTTCTTGTAGATTTCTATTCTAGTAAAGTGGACATACTGTTCCTTCTCCCATTTCAGATGCCCTCTCAGATCGTTCTGTAACCAATGCTACCATCCACAACCATACCCTGCTCTTTATACAACAAACATTCCTAACAAACGACCTTAACGACTGATGGGATTAAATGAAATAAAAACGTGTATCCAGATCTGCTTTCTCTAACTCCTGCCTGAAGTTGAACTTAATTTCAGTCCGTCTGTGAGTGCGGAGGGCTGTGATGGCGAGCAGATGACTTTCACTTGTGTGTCTGAGAGCGTGACATGAGCTCAGTCAGATTCCCACCTGGGAGTTATAGCGTCCTGCGTTGTGTAGCAGAGTGAGGCATATATGGTGGAGGCCCTGGATCTCACAGGAGTTATTGCTGAAACACTGAAACATCCCACAGCCGACATCCCCTGAACTCACCAGGCAGCTCTGGATTTCAGCTTAGGCAGAGAGAAAAGACACAGTGAGATCAGCACGACGACAGAGATCTAAAGTCACTCAGCAAGGGCAAGAACCCAACAAGTTCCTGCAGAACGGGATGTGCTCAAGGGCTAATTTGGACATTTTGAGCAGTTGGTTGGAGCAGAAAGGGTGGAGAAAGTAGAAAAATGAAAAGGGCTGCCAAGAAATCAGATGTCAGGAAGAAAATGAGAACTAGAGCTGCACACAAAAGAAAAGGGGAATATATCTATATATATACATAGTTTTTTGTGCAACTCTAGTTTTCACTTTCCGGCTGCCATTTGATTTCTTGGCAATATATATAAATACAGTGATTTGCAAAAGCATTTGTACCCTTGAAATTAGCTGTGTTTGTTACATTACAACCACAAACATGAATATATATAGGTAGGTTTATAGTTGTGCCATACTCTTTCCATTTCCGGATGATGGATTGAACAACGCTCCATGAGATGTTCAAAGCTTGGGAAGTATTCTTATAGCCTGAATCTGCTTTAAACTTCTCCATAACTTTATCTCTGGCTTGTCTGGTGTGTTCCTAGGACTTCATGATGCTGATTGCTCCCCAGTATTGTCATAACTTCTGAGGCGTCCCAGAGCAGCTGGATTTGAACTGAGATTAGATTACACACAGCTGGACTCTATAGTCATTAGCAATCATCAGCCAACTTCTGACGGCAAATGATTGCTCTCACAGAAAAGGGGTCTGAATGTTTTTGCCCTCTGCACTTTTCAATTTTTATTTGAGTTTTGAATCATGTATACGTTTCTTTCGACTTCACAGTTGTATATAACATTAAATTCCAATGAAATATATTTATGTCTATGGCTGTAATGTGACAAAATATGGAGAAGTTCAAAAGGTATGAATACTTTTGCAAGTTGCAAAATGGATATTTGCAATGCAATACTTGGTGAGTTAATATATTTCAAGTCCAGTGCCTTCACACTCTGCATGCTAGTAATACATCTGCCAACTGGGATGGACTTTAACTGCCTTTGACGCCAACATCAAATATAGTTTTTCGAGACGGTGATGCTAATGTTCTCAGGGATAGGTAGTGATAACGTGAATAAGAAAAATGAAGAGAAAATGCTGATT